ACAGAATTCCGAAATTTAGAAGACTAGATATGAGAACAGAATTCCGACTCCTAGAGAGAATTTCACCTGATCTGCCGAAACCCGGGATCGAACCAGGGACCTTTAGATCTTCAGTCTAACGCTCTCCCAACTGAGCTATTTCGGCTCGAGAATGATAAATATGAGAACAGAATTCCGAAATTTAAAATTTCTCTATATATTTCAATAAAGCATGCAGGCAAGAGGATAAAAATTAAACTCTTAGAGAGAATTTCATCTGATCTGCCGAAACCCGGAATCGAACCAGGGACCTTTAGATCTTCAGTCTAACGCTCTCCCAACTGAGCTATTTCGGCACGAGAAGGATAGATATGAGAACAGAATTCCGAAATTTAAAATTTCTCTATATTTCAATAAAGCATGCAGCCAAGAGGATAAAAATTAAACTATCAGAGAGAATTTCATCTTATGTGCCGAAACCCGGGATCGAACCAGGGACCTTTAGATCTTCAGTCTAACTCTCTCCCAACTGAGCTGTCTCTGCACAAGAAGTATAGACATGAGAACAGAATTCCGAAATTTAAAATTTCTCTATATATTTCAATAAAGCATGCAGACAAGAGGATAAAAATTAACTATTACAGAGAAATTCATCTTATGGGCCGAAACCCGGGAACGAACCAGGGACCTTTAGATCTTCAGTCTAACGCTCTAACAACTGAGCTATTTCGGCACGAGAATTATAGATATGAGAACAGAATTCCGAAATTTAAAATTTATCTATGTATTTAAAATAAAGCATGCAGCCAAGAGGATAAAAATTAAACTCCTAGAGAGAATTTCATCTGATCTGCCGAAACCCGGGATCTTTAGATATTCAGTCTAACGCTCTCCGTGTTACGTCATGGCTAGCAAGCGCGCCCTGTAGAGCCACCTGTAAAATATTGAAATAATGTAACAGTCTAATGCTGTATCCCGACAACAGCGGATGCACGAAACGAAACTGAAAAAAAAGGCTTAGCATTACTAGAAAAATTTGCCTTTCATCTCAATCCTATTTACAGTCCTAATTTACGACGGAAACACTCCCAACTGAGCTATTTCGGCACGAGAAGGCTAGATAGATATGAGATCAGAAATCCGAAATTTAAAATTTCTCTATATATTAAAAATAAAGCATGGAGCCAAGAGGATAAAAATTAAGCTCCTAGAGAGAATTTCATCTGATCTGCCGAAACCCGGGATCGAACCAGGGACCTTTAGATCTTCAGTTACCTAACACTCTCTACCCTGAGCTATTGCCGGCATTTGAAGCTGGATAGATATGAGATCTGGAAACTGAATCTAAGAATTCTCATCTATATATTAAATAATGAAAGCATGAGCCAAGAGGAAATAAAATTAATCACTAGAGATGAGAATTTCATCTGATCTGCGACCCGACAACCGGGACTTAGATCTTCATTCTAGTCTCCAACTGAGCTATTTCGACACGCTGAGAGTGATAGATATGAGACAGAATGCCGAAAATTTAAAATTTCTATATATTAGAAAAAGCAGAGCAAGAGAGATAAAAATTAAACCTGTGAGAATTTCATCTGATCTGCCGAAACACGGATCGAACCGGGACCTTTAGTCTTCACTCTAACGCTTCCTCCCAACTGAGCTGTTTCGGCAGATAAGGATATAGATATGAGTCAGAATCTCGACATTAAAATTTCTATTATATTTAAGATAAAGCATGGAGCCAAGAGATAAAAATTAAGCTCTAGAGAGATTTCATCTGATCTGCCGAACCCGGATCGAGGACAGGGACCTTAGATCTTCAGTCTAACGCTGCTCCCAAGCTGAATATTTCGGCACGAGAGTAGATGATGAGAAAGAATGTCCGAAATTTAAAATTTCTTATATATTAGAAAAAAAAAAAAAAAAAAAATAAAAAAGTAAAACTCTTATCTTAAACCGGGATCGAACCAGGGGACCTAGATCTTCGCCCTCCCAACTGAGCTATTTCATTTTGAGATAGATGTAAAGAGAACAGAATCCAAAATTTAAAATTTCTATATATATTTCAATAAACATCAGCCTAAGGATAAAACTAAACTCTAGAGAGAATTTCATCTGATTGCCGAAACCGGATCTTAGATTTCAGTCTAACGCCTCCTGTTACGTCATGGCTACAGCGCCCTGTAGAGCCACCTGTAAAATATTGAAATGTATAACAGTCTAATGCTGTATCCGACAACGGATGCACGAAAACTGAAAAAAAGGCTTAGTACTAGAAAAATTTGCCTTTCATCTCAATCTTACAGTCCTAATTTACGACGGAAACACTCCCAACTGAGCTATTTCGGCACAAGAAGCTAGTAGATATGAGATCAGAAATCGAAATTTAAAATTTCTCTATATATAAAAATAAAGCATGGAGCCAAGAGGATAAAAATAAAGCTCCTAGAGAGAATTTCATCTGATCTGCGAAACCCAGGATAGAACCAGGGACCTTTAGATCTAATCGCTCTCCCAACTGGAGCTATTTCGCACAGAGTAGGATAGATATGAGAACAGAATACCGGAAATTTAAAATTTATCTATATATTTAGAAAAGCATGCAGCCAAGAGAATAAAACTTAAACTCCTAGAAGAATTTCTATCTGATCTGCCGAACCGGATCGAACCAGGGACCTTTACTCTAACGCTCTCCCAACTGAGCTATTTACTTTGATAGGATAGATATGAGAACAGAATCCGGCAAAATTCTCTATATGTATAAAATAAATAGCATGGCCAAGAGTTACAGAATTAACTCCTAGAGCAACATGGCTGCATCTGCCGAAACCCAGGGGATCGAACAGGGACCTTTGATCTTCAGTCTAACGCCTCCCACTGAGCTATTTCGGCTTTAGAAGTTGATAGAACGAACAAATTTCCAAATTTAAAACTAGATATGAGAAATTTCGAGCTAACCTAGAGAAATTTCACAAATCTGAAAGCGGATCGAACAGGGACCTTTAGATCTTCAGTCTAACGCTCTCCAACTGGGCTTTTCGGTCACGAGAAAAGTATGATATGAGACCACTGAAACTTGAAATTTAAAATTTCTTATATTAACAATAAGCATGAGCAAGAGGATGAAAAAGTCTAGTAGAGAATTTCATCTGATCTGTCCGAAACCTGATCGAACAGGGACCTTAGATCTTCGCTAACGCCTCCCAACTGAGCTATTTCGGCATCGAATGATATATGAGAACAGAATATCGAAATTTAAAATTTCTATATATTTAAAATAAAGATGCAGCCAAGGATAAAAATTAACCTCTAGAAAATTTCCATCTGATCTGCCGAACCAGGACGAACCAGGGACCTTTAGATCTTCAGTCACGCTCTCCCAACTGAGACTATTTCGCGCGAGAAGAGTGATAGAATGGGGCAAATGCAAGAAATTTAAAATTTTCTATAATATTAAAAAAAAAGCATGCGAGAGAGGATAAAAAAATCTCCTAGAGAATATTTCACTGTCAAAAGCCACGGATCGAACCAGGGACCTAGTATCTTCAGCTAATGCCTCCCACTAGCTATTTCTGTGAAGTATAAAATATGAACAGAATACGAATATAATTTCTTTTATATTTTAAAGCTGCAGCCAAGAGGATAAAAATAAAACTGCTAGAGAATTTCATCGATCTCGCCGACCGGGATCGAACCAGGGACCTTTAGATCTCAGTCTAACGCTCTCCCAACTGAGCTTTCGGCACGAGAGGTATATGGGAACAGAATCGAAATTTAAATTTTTATATATTTTAAATAAGCATGCAGCCAAGAGGATAAAATATTAAACTCCTAGAGAATTTCATCTGATCTGTGAAAACGGATCAGACAGAGACCTTTAATCTTCAGTCAACGCTCTCCCAACTGAGCTATTTCGCAGCGAGAAGTGTAGATATGGAACAGAATGCCGAAATTTAAAAATTTCTCTATATTTAAGAAAAGCATGAAGCCAAGAGATAAAATTAAACTCTAGAGAGAATTTCATCTGATCTGCCAGACTTGGGATCGACCATGGGACCTTTGGATCTGTCGTCTACTGCAGCTCTCCCCAGCTGAGATATGACTGGCTCAGTGAAGGATAATGATGAGAACAGAGATCCGAGAATTTTATAATTTCTCTAAATATTTAAAACCATGCATTAAATTGGATAAAAAATAAAACTCTAGAAAATTTCCATCTGTTCTTGA